AAAGTAAGTTGTAGCAATAAATCATGGCATTTTGAGAGTTTCTGTGATATTTTTATTATAAAACATTCAGTATACAATTATATATATGGTCTTGAATTTCCGAAGATCTTTATTGGAAGAAGAAATGGAGTTTAGATTGAACAAAATATTGATGGTATGCATCATGCAGTCAACAGGAATTGGAGCTACCTAGGAAGCACAAAAGAAGACATGTTCACGACACAGCTTGACAGTTTCATCAAAATTGATCCTCAAATTTATTAGATACTTCAGAAATTGCTTTTCTTCCTCTTAAACAGATTAAATTGCTTCATCCTGACAACTCTCCCATCCCAAATGAAGTTATCCAATTGCACCTAAAGGACAAAATTGTGGGTAACTACACCACAGATACAAATGGCATTGCACAATTTTCCTTGGACACATCTAAGCTTACATACCCAAATATCACTTTGAAAGTAAGTTATCCAAAGGCAAGTAGAGAAAAACAATCAAGCAAAAATATATTGGCTAACTAAGGTTTACGTTTATGCTATATTTTATTTTTGGAATAGAAATGGGAGGGGGGAAGCATGTTAGTTTGAATTTAGAATGCTAAAAAATGGTTAACTATTAAAGAAACAGTCTCTATAAAATAGATAACTATTTTACAAATTCTGAGAAAGTACAGGATAGCCTACACATTAAAGTATATAGAGGAAAATTAGCTGAAAATAAGCCACACTTCACTTTTATTATTGAACTAGAAAGAGAATTGCATTTCTATAGAGGAAAATACTTGTGAAATCTTGTAATCTATTATCATGGATAATGTAAAGAATTTCTCTGCACACATTCAAGAGAGAAGCAACCTAGTATCTTAAATGAGTTTGTAATGACTAAATGTCAAATTTTCCTAGATATTTTTAAAGGACCTCACAGACTTGTGTGTTTGGTAACTGACCATTGTTAGATTAATCTCCTTGCTCTATTTGATAAAAAGTTTTTTTCATTTTTCAGAAAATTCCATTATGTTATTATTTTC